GGTAGAACGTAGATTAATATAAATGGGTTAATTAAAGTTTTAAGAGCTAGTTGGGAACAAGCGTACGCTAAGGGCAAGCTTTTATAATTAATAAGAAGTCTCTGTATTATTATTTGGGAGTGCTGGCAGCCCAGAAAAAGTCTGAATATAAAACTCTTCCACCCTAGAACTTGGAACCTGGGGTAGGGTAACTGAGTTCTGTGTTTCCTGGGACATGCTCACTCAAATTTGGCTGTGGGGTTTTTTGTTTGTTTTTTCCATCAACAGTATGACTTATTATTTGGGTGACCTTCTACATGTAACCTAAAACGAGTTTCTTTACTTCATGTTCAATACTCAATTGTCTCCCAGATCAGGTTGGAAGTTTCCCTATGATACTCCACCTCCCCCGTAATCACCATGAATCAAAACTATCAGAAGTGCTACTGATGCTGCTGGCCTCAGGCTGATGCAACACTAGTCTCTGCTGAGGGCAACATTCAGATCCCCTCCTACCAAAGTGGTGCTGGGGACTGAACACAGGGTCCTGCATATGACACCACATAACATCCAAGACACAGCATCCAGTTTTTAACTACTGTTCTCTCACAGTCTTTCAGTCTCACTCCTCTCTGGTTCCAGCACCTATGAAATAAGCAGTAAACTTTGCCTGGGCCTTGGTGAAATAGGAAGCTAAAATGTGAACCATGGTGACTGTGGTAGAAGGCCCTGGGAGGAAACGATCTTGGTGATGGAGTTTTCTCACCTTTCGTAAGACATCTCAAATTATCCCACTCTGCAGATCTCCACAGTGATGATTTTAGTAGGTGGGCCTTTGGAGATGGTTGGGTCCCTGATGGGATTAGTGTCCTTACAAAAGGGAGCTGAGAATTGTCTCACCACTTCCACCATGCAATGACACCACCAAAGGTGTCACCTATGAAATCGGAATAGGCTTTCCTCATCACATATCTTCCTTGATCTTTGAGTTCTTAACCCATAACTGTGAAAAGTAACTTCCTATTGTCTGTAAACCATCTCATCTGTGGTATTTGTATTTTGTCGCAGCAACCTGAAAGGGCTAAGACAGGTATTCAGGCAATTCCAATATGTGGGCAGCATGGAGAACCACCGTCTAAATGGTACTCTTGACAGTCCCTCAAGATGCTAAGAGCCTGCATGCTGAAAAGAAGTAGCATATACATGAATGACAGGAATGGCTAGAAGACAAGACTGTCACCTGCCCATCATTTAGTGGAAGCAAACGTCTGAATCTGCAGGAGGAGCTGTGAGGTTCGTGTGTGACCTGACTACAGACGGAGCAGCTTAAACAGCATTTGCTTAGCAGCTTTCTCTGTTTCCACACACTGGGAGCAGGGCTCTTACCTAGAGGCTCTGGAAGAAATCAGCTTCCAAATTCAACTAGCCTTAGCAGACTTCACAACTTGTTAATTTTGCCTTGACCTGGACTGAATCGCCAGCGTCCAGGACACGGCAGGGCCCGAGGAACACAGCCAAGGTCCCTGGGAGCCAACTATGCCTTGTGCTGCTTAGGAGGTAAGCGAGGACGCTGCAGAGATGTGGGGTGAATTCCATGCAATCCAGGTCGAGGTTCTTGGCGAAGGAAGGCGGAAGAAAAAGCAACCTCACTCCTCAGCCCAGCTGGCTGCACCTGTAACCACCAACCTCACAAATACAGAGCACCCCAGGAGGCATGCTGAGGGTGCCAAGGAGACCTCAGTACTCTAAGGCTTAATGTTATTTAACGGCTGCCGGACGGGATCCTGAGCCAGAGAACTGGTGTTGAAAGGCCTCCCTTCCGCACCGCCCATTTCAAAGCAACACCTGGCCAGGTAGAAAGACATCAAGGTAGAAAGTTATTTGAAGTAAAAACCCATATGGCTATTGGTCTTCAAAGAGATTACGAACCATCTGAACTTTCAACAATTGGTTCTGGCCTCTTAATTCTGAGAGGGTAAGTACGGAACAGTCCAGAGAACAATCCATACAAACTGGTCTAGCTAGAGAATAGTTTGTCAAAGGTGTAAGAGAGACACATGTGTGATTTATACTTCTTTCTAAACTTATGGACATTTAACCATGAGTGAAAAATATTCTTCACACACAATAAGTTGTGGGTTCATCAAACATAAAAATATTTTGAAAACTTAATCCAAGATATTCACAAAACAACAAAAAGTTTTCTGTAGCAGGAAATGCTTTTCTCTCAATTGACTGGAAATATACTGTTGATCTCCTTCCCTCCATCTACTTATCACATCACACCACAAACGGCCAATTTATTCTGAAACTTGAAATTGCCTTTTACCTCCTCTCGGCTCTTCCCTGGATCCACTTCTGTAGTAGGGAAATGACAGCACCCAGCCAGAGGTGACCGCGCTGGGCTCAGCTGCAGTCGAGGCTGATGACTCTTTTTGATTGTTTTCTTCCATTTTCCGTGACCGTATTTTTTGATGTTAACACACACCTCCCCCGCCCACTGCCACACACAAACCGTCAGCACTCTCTGGCTGCTTTTGCTGTCCCATTTCCTCAGCAGCAAGGCTGACACGTGGAGAGATGCTGCCACTGGAGTGGTTCCCATCTGTGGGACAGTTCATCCCTTAGCACGGGCTTACATGGGGTAAACAGAAACGCTAAAAGAATAAGAATGGGCTAGAAGAAAGTGTGCCCTCTGGGAACCTTAGTTAGTGGTCATGAATATGACCATGTTTTAAATTCTGTGACATAAAAGGAGAATTTTTAAAAATACCAATATAAAGGCAATGTGATTCTTGGGTAGACTCTGATTTTAAACTATTGTATGGTTAATAGGACAGAGAGAATCTCAGCTCTGCTTCTCAGCCACCTGAGCTGATGAGTCTTAGCCAAGCCATGGTTTCTTCTAGTTTCTTTCTCAGTCCTGGCTGAGAAAAGCTTGACCTTAGGAAGGTGTGCTATAAGGTCAGAATCTTCCAAAGTTTTAGCAAAAAGGAGAAATGAAATCAAGGAAAAGAATTTAAAAGGAGTATCCACTTAGTGTTAACTATAGAAAAATAAAGCTTCACTATGTATTCCTGGCTGGCCTGGAACTCAGAGATCAGCCTGCCTCTGCCTCCAGAGTGTTGAGATTAAAGGCGTGCGCTACCACACCTGGCCCTCGGAAAAATGATTCCTAGACAGAACACAAAAGCACTTAACCACTAGGGAAAAGGTTAGTAGAAATGGAGAGCTCTGGGCTGGCCAGAGACGGCTTGGCAGGAAAAAGCACTTGCTTTGATTCTTGAAGCTCACATAAAACCGGAGAGAACCACTCTACAGAGTTGTCCTCTGATCTCCATGGTGCACTGTGGTGGCAGGCATGTGTCCACATACATGCACACATTCACAAACGGAAAAAATAAACACAAAAAAATTCTACTGAGAGTTTTGCTTCTCAAGAGTGAAATATCAAGTAACATTAAAGAATCTGTGATACATCTATTTAACAAATCACTTATATACAGGATATAGAAAGACCTTTTAAAAATTAGAGCTTATGTTTTACTTTATCTATAGATGACTGTTTTGCCTGCATGCTTGTATGAACATCAGAAGGTGTCAGATGCCCTGGAAAAGAGGGTTGTGAGCCACCATGTGGGTGCTGGGAACTGAACTCTGGTGCTCTTAACAATGCAGCCATCTCTCTAGACCATATAAAGAACTTTTAAAAATAATAAAGACAAAAAAAAAAACAGAGAAAACTATTTAAAAAATGGGCAGCAGGAGCTTGGCAAGCAGCTCAGTGGCAGAGTGTGTGCTTTGTAGGAGGCTCCATGCTCCATCCCGAGGACCAAAAATCAATACAAAGTAAATAGATAGGGATGAAAGGCCTGATCAGGTACATCCCCTCAGAGAGGCTGTCCAAATGGCCAGTTAACATAATGCTCAATCTCATCAGCCAACAGGCTAACAAAAATCAAAACCATATCGAGATACCATGACCCCTTTACCCAAAGACTGTGAGTGAGGAAGGCAGAATGCTGATGAGAACTCACAGGAACAGATCTCCCCTAAACTGCTGGTGGGCTGGACCTAGCAATCTGCTTGGCATCCTCCACTCTATTTGAATATGTGCGTGCAGTAAGGCCTAAGCACTCCAGTCCTACGAGCATATCCAGCAGAGGTAAGAATATCAACAGAGTGGATAGTAAAGACAAAAACCACATAGTGTCTTACTAAGTAGTAAGGAAAATAAATTGTAGCAATAAAGGACAAATCTTACTAGCAATACTGTATGGAAAGCCAGATGCAAATCTTATACAGCTTTTTGTTCCTTTCTCTAAATGCTGAGAAAAGGCATCACTATTCCAGCACTCACACTTCCACAGAGAACCGCAAGGAGAAGAAGGGAGGCAGACAGGTACGTGGGGGAGCGGCGAGGGGCTGGCTGGAGAGTCATGACAGGTTTGTGGGACCCGGAGATGCTACTTCAGGATGGGGTTTCTGACTGGGTTTTCATTTCACGATTAATGAGACTAATTCATGCACTTTTATCTTAGTGTATGTTATTTCATAATAAAAAGTTTAAACCTGTATCAGGTATCACTTCCTTGTCTGCTCATCTCAGAAAGTAAACACCACCCTAGACAAACAAAACTAGACTAAATGAAAACTCTTAAAGGTACAAAAACAGAAAAAAACGGAAGACCTTTGGAGGGCTTTATGCAAATGAGGAGGAGCTGCCCTCTTTGGGGAGATGCTTTAGCAGCAGCTCTGTCCAGGGCGGCGTGAGGGAGAAGGCTCCCTTCCTGCAGCAGATGTGAGTACTCACAGTCTGTGGGGTGGGCTGCAGACTGCCCTTCTGTCCTCCCACCCCCTTCTCCTCATCGAGGCCTTTGCATAGTACAGTACACAAATATCACACCCTCTCTGGAAGTCACGGCTGAGAGAACAGAGATGATACTCCATGCAAACCAAACACATGCCCACATGGAACATGTCCTGGCAAAGGACCACAAATGCCCAGCACCGTGCCTTACCGCATAACCTTCTGTCTTCTTCTGACACCATTTCAGGAGTGCATTACGCTTAGAGCCGCCGTACTCCCGGGCCAGGGCTGCCAGAGGGTCTCTTCTTTCAACACTGATTACAAAGAACAACACACAGTTAAGGAGGATGCTGGTTGAATGGTTGTTTCGTTTTTCTTTTGAGACAAGGTCTCATAATGCCCAGGGTGGCCTTGAACTCACTATAGGCAAGGATGACTCTGATCTTCCTACCTCTACATCCCAAGTGCTGGGATTACAGGTGTGTACTACCACATCTGGCAAGATGCTGGCTTTTTTGTTTGTTTGTTTGTTTTATTTTTCAAGACATGGTCTCTCTGTATAGCCCTGGCTATCTTAGAACTTGTTCTGTAGACCAGGCTGGCCTAGAACTCACAGAGATAGGCTGGCTCTGCCTCCTGAGTGCTGGGATTAAAGGTGTGCGCCACCAACTGCCTGGTTAAGGTGCTGGCTTTTAAAACCCTCAAATATATATACAGAAAAAGCCAAAGTGTAGGTTTATTCAAATAGTACTCTAAAGAAACAGCCAAATTAGTCACATTAAAAATACATTATGTCAGCCAGGTGGTGGTGGAGCACACTTTTAGTCCCAGCACTTGGGAGGCCAAGGCAGGCAGATCTCTGGGACTAGGAAGATGGCTCAGTAGGTAAGTACACCTGCTGTGAAAACAGAGGACCCAAGTTCAAAACCCCCAACACCAAAATAAAGGGCAGACATGGTTGATCATATCTGTGACCCCAGGGGTCGGAAATGGAGACAGAGGACTCCTAGAGCTTACTAGCCAGCTAGCTTGGCCAAAACGGCAAGCTTCAAGTTCAGTAAGAGAGTCTGTCTCAAAAATAAAGTGGAGAGCAAGAGAACACCACCCAATGTTACACAATTAAATGACTGCCCTCACAAGAAATTTAATAATAGAGACTGAAAATTTATTTTGAGACAGGGACTCATTATGTACCCCAGGCTGGCCTTGAACTCATCTTCCTGCCTTTGCTTTTTTTTTTAGACTAGGTTTCTCTGTGTAGCCCTGGTTGTCCTGGATCTCACTCTGTAGACCAGGCTGGCCTCAAACACAGAGATCCACCTGCCTCTGTCTCCTGAGTGCTGCGATTAAAGACGTGTGCCACCTCCGCCTAGACTGCCTCAGCTTCTTAAGTGTTGGAATTGTAGGTGTGCATGACTATGCATAGCTATATAAAGACTGAGTTTCTAATGCAAGGAATTCCAGGGCTGGCAACACAATCCAGCAGGTAAAAGCACTTGCTGCCAAGTCCAGTGACCTGCATTCAAACCTTGTTGATACTTATGTTACAAGTTATATTAGGTAGAAGTTGTCCTTAGACTTCCACATGCACATTGTGGCACATGCACACACAAATAAAAATAAATGCAATTTTAAAAATCTAAAAAATTCTATTCTGTCACAGGTTAATCTTAATAATACTAATGTAAAAGAAATAAGAAATTGCCGGGTGGCACACACCTTTAATCCTAGCACTCAGGATGCAGAGCCAGGTGGACCTCTGTGAATTTGAGGCCAGGCTGGTCTACAGAGTGAGATCCAGGACAGGCACCAAAACTACACAGAGAAACCCTGTCTCAAAAAAAATAAAAAATAAAAATAAATAAATAAATAAATAAAGGTCACTAATCTGACCTTTTATGAAGAAAAGTATACTATAAATAGCATATTAATATACATAAATTTCCTGTGTGTTTATGGCATTGATTTGAGAGTAGCACTAATTCTGGTCCTTCAAACTTGTTTCTATGCAGTTAATATGCAGATGATCTATATCTGGGACTTTTATAAACCTCTTGAAATATCTGGATTTACCTATTTGGGATCAAATATCAGTTATATCCAAAGATACAAGATACATCTGATCTGAATGTGTTCAGACTCAAAGCCCTCCCCTAAGACATTCATGGATGCTTATACTACCTACTATAAAGCTCTTATCCCTGAACTAGACAGCTTCTTAGACTCATCTGTGGGTAAACTGTTAGGTGGAGCACAAGACAAGGCACTGGGAAAGATACCCAAATGTAGGATGAAATATTTATTATCCATGAAATGACAGCAAGTTATTCATACTACAAAAGAAGTGCTGGAGTTACACACACAAATGAGTGGAAGACACCAAAGTAGAATTTCAACTAATGTCCTCTGCTTTCACAGGAGATGGTCTTATCTACTGAGCCACCTCATACTTACTACTTTTAATGGTAAATTCTTTTTTTTTTTTTTTTAAGATTATTTATTATGTATATACTGTTCTGTTTGTATGTATCCCTGCAGGCTGGAAGAGGGTGCCGGATCTCATTACAGATGGTTGTGAGCCACTTTGTGGTTGCCTGGAATTGAACTCAGGACCTCTGGAAGAACAGCCAGTGCTCTTAACCATTGAGCCGTCTCTCCTGCCCCAATGGTAAATTCTTTAGTCTTCCACTTATCCAGGAGTGAAGGGTGAAGCCATCATCACAGGTGAGTGGGATGGAGCTAAACTATGCAGACCCAGAAGAGCAGAATGCAGAGTGATGACTGCTACAAGGGCTTCTGGGAGGTCCACAGCAGGACACTAGGTGCTTCATTCAGAAGACTAACAACATGGGAAAGCAGGGAAGACTCCAGGCAGAAGAGAAACAGATGGGATAAGTTTGCCGGGACCGTGGTAGCCAAGGGCACTGGCAGGGGGAGGTGGCAGACACGTGGGGGCAAAGACAGGCTTTTGGCAACCATCTAGGCCCACTGTTCATTTCCTCCTCTGCTAACGCCCCTTTAAAAGCTGATCTCAAAAACGTCTCTAATCCTCCTTCTATGCCACTGTGTTCTCAATAATCTTCCTTAAATAGCAGGTCTGCTCTTAATCACTACTCAAAAACAAAAACACAATCCCACAGACTTAGTGGTTCCCCACTGCCTTACCAAAATAAGTATGAAGCTCTTTTTGGCAATGCAGACTGTTTGCACCAGGGCTCCAACCTGCCTTGACGGCTGTAACTCCCCAGCCGTCTACTGTGCTGGCTGGGGGCCTGCTCTATGTTTGGCAGGGCCTTCTTGAGGCCCTGGGTTGAGTTCCATCGCTCACTCACCCTGGCACCTTTACAGCAGGAATCCTACTCCTCTCTAGACTTCCTGATCCAAACAACCCCTCAAGTACTTTTGCTTAAACGTTAAAGATTGATTGATTGATTTTATGGGTATATGTGTGTGCCTGAGTATCTGCATGTTCACCACATGTGTGCATGTGTTTCTGGAGGCCAGAAGAGGATGGAGATCCCCCTGGAAATGAAGTCTTAGGCAATTTAGAGCCATCTGATGTGGGTGCTAGGAACTGAACCTGAGTTCTCTCTAAGAGCAACAAGTGTTCTTAATCACTGGGTTACCTCTCCAGCTCCTCTTTGCTAAAATTTTAACTTTTAAAAAACTCTACCATTACTGGTGTGTGTGTGTGTGTGTGTGTGTGTGTGTGTGTGTGTGTGTGTGTGTGTGTGTGTGTGCTGGTCAGAGGACAACTTTGTGGAGTTGGTTCTCTCTTTCACATGGGTTCTGGTGATTGAACTCAGGCTTGCATAACAAGAGCCTTTATTCACTGATCCATCTCAGGGCCCCTGCTTAAAAAGGTACAGCTCTTCATTTGATTTTGTCCCAAACCACTCTGTAGCACCTTCTTATCAGACCTGTTGAAGGTGTCTTCTATATCTTAATCACTGTCACTCAGAAGGAAGCTGACTGGATGAGACAGAAGGAAGAGGATGTTCATCTCATTTCTCAGACTTTAAAATTCATTACCTGAGCTTGCTTGGTTTCAGACCCCCGGTGGACGCACTCAGCAGTCTGGTGTTCCCAAAGCCCAGGGAAGGGGGTCTGCTCAGGGACTCCAGTGAGGGACTCTTTCGGAGGTAAGGGTCTGACTTCCGGTCCTCGGCCCTTCCCTTCAGAAGATCTGTGTGAATAACAACATTGTCACCCATTTCTAAAGGGGAGAAATCTGATTGGTTATCATACTTTATTCTCAAGTACGAAGACATATCTACATAGGTATATGCATATGTTCCTAAATATACATATACACACAATTTTTTTCTTTCTGGAATAATAAAAATGTAAATAGGGACATGGTATTTTCTAGAAAGAATTCTCCGGGCAGGACTACCTATATAATCTATAAAACCTTGTACCAGGGTGGATGGATGGCTCAGTTGTTCAGACTACTTACTGCACAATCGTGAGGACCTGAGTTCAGATCCTAGCAAGCTAGGTGTCCTGCGCACATCTATAACTCCAGCTCTGATGAGAATGGAGACAAAGAGAATTGCCGGTGCTTATTAGCACACAGCTTAGCCAAGAAAATGAGAACCGCAGCTTGAGGGAGAGACCCTTCTTCAAAAGGATTACGTAGTAAATAACAGGAACACTCAATATCCTCGTTTGGCCTCCTCTTCTGTTCACAGATGCACAAATCCACACTCATATTCACACACACAAGACAAACAAATATAAAATATATCTTTAAAAAAGGATCTACTGGGGCTGGAGAAATGACCCAGTGGTTAAAAGCACTGGCTGGTTTCAATTCCTAGCACCTGCATGGTAGCTCACAACTGTCTGTAACTCCAGTTATGGGGGCTCCAATACCCTCTTTTGGCCTCCACAGGCACATAAGTGGTGCACAAACATACATGCAGGCAAAACACCCATACACAAGAGAATAAAATAAATAAATAAACAAACAAACAAATAAATGAGGGAGAGAGGGAGGGAGGAAAGGAAGGAAGGAAGGAAGGAAGGAAGGAAGGAAGGAAGGAAGGAAGGAAGGAAGGAAGCCTAGTGCCAAGGCAGTCCTTTGTTCAAAAATGATTCTAAATTTTCAGGCAGTGATCAGAGTATTAAGTATGGCCTTTCTAAGAGCCTTGTGCAACTCCCCAGTTAGGACGCCCACTCCTCTCGCTCTGTCTCTAGCTAGTGTTGTTTGCATTATGCTGTGGATATCGGAGGAAAAGCTGGTAGGAAAATGTCTCATGTGACTGTCAGGTCACAGACAGCAGCAGACAAAAAGCTGGGAACAAAGAACAACAGCCCATAGGAGAAAAAGTTGCTCCAATTACAGGCTTATCGTTCACTAAAAACTGAGCACAACCCCCTCTTTTTAAGGCGCCTTTCCTGTCCTATTAGTATTAGTGAAAACAGGCACAAAAATGAGCGGAAGTCTCCAGATGTCTCTGAAAGGGTCACAAAAGCAGAGCAGAGGACATCTGAGGCTGGCTTATACAGAGTGGGAGCTGGAGCTGTGAGACTTAGGTAGTTGGCTGAATATCACAGGACAGCTGGGGCCAGGCTGGGGCCACCTCCTGTCACCCACAGTCACAGAAGAAAACAGTAACCTCTTCAGCTAATAGCCACCAATTATGGGCATCAAGTTGGGGGTGAGGCCAATTAGGTCTAAATAGCAGAGAAAAACAGTTCTACATCACCGAAGAGCAAAACAAAAACAGAACATTAATCTGCAGTTAGGGATGACCTCAATGTTGACAAGCAGTTGCTGGAAATGGCTGGAAGCAAACACTTTTCACTAGGCAGTCCTTTATTACAGTAAATAGAATCATCACCAGGAGACAGGTGCCTGGAGGGGAAGGAGGAGAAGGTCAGCCAATGAGCTCCACAGTGATAATTGTGGTCTCAACTTTATTATTTATCTTGTCAATCAAAAGAATGGTTCTTTAGATAATTAGCAAACTTGGAAGTTAGTAGAATAGCCTGAAAAAGACATAAAAGCTATGATCACTCATAGAGTTCTAAGTTTTATGTTGTATAGCTTTTCCTGCAGTTAAAAAAAATTCACCTAGCACTATTCATGCGAGGAAGTTACTCCCTATTTTATACTGCATAATGAGTGTGTGCTATGATATTACACAATGATGCATAGATTTAAGCCAGACAGGTTTTCAATCTTATGTTTTGGCCTCCACCCTGCATTTCTGGGAAAGAGGTGCTCAGACTTGAATGCCTTGAAGTTGCATGCAATATTCATTTACCAAGCCCTAGGATGCTTAAAAATGATATTAGCTCAATTCTGCCTATACTCTGTAAATAAAACAGTAAAGACTAGAGGGCAATGCATCTCTTTACAACACTATGTATGAAAATTTTAAAGTCCAATGCTAAGACCTACGACTCTCAACACACAAAAATTCTTTTCAAAACTTCTCTGTGGTGCTGGGGAGATAGCTCAGGTTAAGAATACTAGCTGTTCTTATGGAAAACCTGAGTTCAGTTACCAGCATTCACACAGCAGCTGTACCAGTCTGTACCAGTTCCCTGGGATCTGAGCCCTCTTCTGGCCTCTTAGGGCACTGCACATGTGGTGCACACATACACAATACATACACATAAAATAACAACACTCTGTCCTGGGCCTACAGGATATATGAAGCAGACTTTCTTTTGGGCCACCAACCAGCTCCCAAATCATGACATGGAGACTTCTTATTAGTTATGAATGCTCAGTCTTATCTTATGCTTGTCCCACTAGCTCTTATAACTTAAATTAACCTGTTTCTTTTCATCTATGCTTCGCCTCGTTCTGGGCTTTTTACCTGTCATTCTGTATGTTCTACTTTTCCTGCTTCTACCATGTCTGCTGGCTGGTGGCTGCCTGGCTCCAGGCATCTCCCTCTTTTTCCCCTCGTTCTCTTTGCCCTTCTTTATTCTCTCTGCCCGCCAGCTCCACCTATCCCTCTACTGCCTAGCTATTGGCTATTCAGCTTTTTATTAGACCAATCAGGTGCCTTAGGCAGGCAAGGTGAAACAGTAACATATCTTTACACAATTAAACAAATGAGCATAAACAAAAGCAACACATCTTCACATTGTTAAAAGTAATATTCTACAACAGATATATCAGTGAGTAAAGGTGCTGATGACCTGAGTTCACTCCCTTGAAACCATGTAAAAGTAAAAGAAAACCAACTCTGAGAAGGTGTTTTCTAACCTCCACCTATGTGCTGTGGTACATGCATATTGAAATAGCCATTACCCACATGTACAGTAATAATAAACAAAATCAACAACACCACCCTCACTGCTCACTGAGATTGCACCTGGTTGATCACTCAAGAATAGTGATGGAGTTTTGTACAAAATTAATGTTCTTTTATTAACTAACTTTTTTTTAAAATCTCCTGACACAGAAGCCATTGCACAGTCTAAGGATCAAGGAGCAATTCTCATCGAATGTTTATTAAACAAACATTTCACAAGCTGTAGCTGCCACAAATAATGATTCCTCCCACAAATCTGAGCAAAATAAATAGAAAGCTTTCTGAAAAGATTCAGGACTCCAGATGCCACTAGGAGCAGAGTAATTCATGGGAAGAAGTAAAAATGTCAGTATCAGTGGGAGTTTGGAAGCAGTGGATCCCAGCCCTCAGTGATGACTTTGAGAGTTTCCAGATGTCGGTGGTGGGGATCACTGCAGGTGTGGAAACAGCAAAGGCACTAGACTGGCAATGGAGGGGGTGACTGAACCGCCACCATCTCAGGAAAAAACATTAGTGGGTGGTGAGTTGTTTCTTATGGAGGAGCAAAGAAAGTAATTCCTTGAGACAGAATCCTTACCTGGTGAAGGTGGTGTGAACACTCGAAAGGATAACAAGGGATTCAGAATATGACATGAACTCAGGGGGAAAGCCATGTTTTGAGAGGAGTGAGTCTGATTTTGAAGGAGGTGCTATGTGGGAGAAAGCCCTTGGGAAAGGCAAGGTAAGGAGACTTGGTAAACGTCACTGGTATCTTATTTTAAGAATTGCCACCATTAGCCCAGTTTCAGCAGGCACCACCTGACCAAAGTCAGCAGACATCAACATCAAGGCAAGACCCTCTGCAGGGAAAAAGGTGCTAAGTTGCTGAAGGCTGAGATGATTATCTGTGATAATGTAACTACTAAGCAAGCTATGAATATTTTTAGATGTAATGCTGTTGCATACTTAAATTACAACACAGAGTAAGCATAACTTTTTGTGTCTTCCCTCACTGTGATATTAGCCTGGTACAGGGGACTGGAACCAAGCTTGCAGAAAACTCATTAACATTTACTAGACCAAAAGCACTGTTGCTCTTTTCTCTGAGCATGCTAACAGGCTCAGCAGACACCAGCAAGGAAAATGATTAGCAGCAAGTATTTCTATGATGCCCAAGGCACACCAGGCAGTGTCCTGTAGGGAGCCGCCATTCAAAGATGGTGCTGGCTTCCTGGTAGCCTAGTTGTAAACAACTCCATATTTGGCTATGCTCTTGGGACTACGTGTCCTGTGACCTGCGCATGCACGGGTATGGTAATTGACCTTATATCCTCAGCCTATCCCGTGGCTCCCCGTGCTTGCATTCTGGCGGGACCCAATCACAGTACGGCACGTTTGCCTGATTCCCTATATAAGCAGCTGCAATTTAGTTCTCGGGGCCCCTCACCTCCCCGCTCTCCCTTAACCAAGAGGCGCTCCAATAAAGTGTGATCTGAAAAGAATCCTCGAGTGGTGGTCGTTCTTCCTCGCTGGCCGAGGGGCGCGCCGCAGTGTCCTCAGTGTTTTAAATGAATTAATTCAATCCTTCAAACGACTCTATGAAGTAAAGTTGTTTCTTTTTCTTTTTGACTTTTTTTTTTTTTTCTTTTTTTTAAGATTTATTTATTTATTATGTATACAGTATTCTGCCTACATGTGTCCCTGCAGGCCAGAAGAGGGCACCAGATCTCATTACAGATGGTTGTGAGCCACCATGTGGGTGCTGGGAATTGAACTCAGGACCTCTAGGAAGAGCAGCCAGTGCTCTTAACCACTGAGCTATCTCTCCAGCCCTCTTTTTGACTTTTTAAAATTAAGTTATGTGTATATGTGTGAGTGTGAGTTTGTGCACATGAGTGCAGGTGCCCGCAGAGGCCAGAAGAGAATGTCACATCCCTGGAGTTACAGGTGGTAGTAAGCTACCTGATGTGAATGCTGGGAAGCAAGTTCAGGCCCTCTGAAAGAGCAGCAAGTGCTCTTAACTGCTGAACCATCCAGCCCCAGAAATGTTTCTATCTTAGAGATGAAGAAACCAAAGCACAATAAAGCTAAAGCTGGGGTGGAATGGCAGGGCCAAGAGACTCAAGGCCAAGCAGGGCTTCGCTTACCTCCCTTTTAATGGCTACAGCTCTGCATCATCATCACTGGAGGCCCAGCAGGAATGAGAATGTGACCTATGAGACCCACTAATTACAACCTCCACTTCACTGTCACGATTTGAACTTAAAAGGGACACTGTGCAACAAGAGGAAGAGGGTAATACTCAAAGGCCTAAATATGGTGCATTGAAGGACTGTGGAATCAGTGAACAAACACAAAACCAGACAAGGGTTTTGTATAACATAGTAATTTTTAAAAAAGAATAGAATATACTGTCTTGAGATTCAGTTTACTAAGAAGAAGAAGGAGAAGGAGAAGGAGGAGAAGGAGAAGGAAAAAGAGGAAGAGGAAGAGGAAGAGGAAGAAGAAGAAGGAAGGAATGAAAGGAAAGGAACAGAAAAGGCCAGGTAGTGGTGGCGCATGCCTTTACTCCCAGCACCCTGAGGCAGAGGCAGATGGATCTCTGAGATCGAGGCCAGCCTGGTCTACAGAGTGAGTTCCAGGATGGCCAGGGCTACACAGAGAAACCCTGTCTCGAAAAAACCAAACCAAAGCCAAACAAACAAACAAACATAAAATCAAATCCAGCCAAGTCGGCATCTCGTTTGCATCCACACACACTGAAGAAGGAAGCAAGCAGGAGGCATGTCTTCTGGCATGAGCTGCTCATTTGCATCTAATGGGCAAAATGTGCACCTTGAGGGGATGAAATCAGTAGAAATAAATACCACCAAATTCAAGTTCATGCAGCAAAAAGTGAACACCACTAAAATAGGACAAAAGTATTTGTGTTTTCAGTCATCTACCTGAGAGGGGAAGGTCCGGCAGATCCAAGCGCTGAGCCATCCCTTTGCTGGCAGGCCGCATGGTGCTGTAAGTCGAATGTCTCTGTCAAAACCAAAGGGCACCTCAGCATGATGAGCTTGCAGTGTGAGCACAGCAGAGCACAAGGGTACACTGCTGTGCCTGGCCACAATTCTTAAACACATCGTAATGACCTAGGGAGCTTTTAAAATAACTTATCTTTTCAAACGGTATTAAGTCCAACTGGCTTAAAGAGAACATTAATGAAAGGATAATCCCCAGTTTACTTCCACCACCTATTTCTTTTTCCCAGTGGCAATTGTTACTAATCTGCTTCCTGAATATCCTTTCTGGAATATTCCATACATTCTTAAGGATATCTTAAGGATATCTGTAAACATAATGTTTTAATGTTTAAATGAGGTGGAACAGCATGCCTATGATTTCAGCACTGGGAAGTAAGAGGCAGGAGAATCCTGGAATGATGGGGAAGGGTGCAGAAAAGGGGGAATTGGTTGGCCAGCTAATCTAGCAAATTGGTCAATTCCATGTTTACTGGAAGACTCTGTGTCAAAAATAAGAGGGGAAGCTATGAGGAAGACACTTAATGTTGACCTCAATTCTTCACACATACACGCACAAATATGCACACCTACAGACAAACATAGACCACAAAAGCACATACTACACACACACACACACACACACACACACACACACACACACACACACACACACACACCTTTTGGATTTCAATGGTCAAAGAGTATATGCAAAGATGATCCACATCACCAATCAGGAAAACACAATCAAAACCAGGAGACACCATTACATTCTAACTCTTAAGACCATTATCTAAAAACAAAAGAAAAAAAAAGTAGCAAGTACTTGGTGACAATATGAAAAAATTAGAATCTGTGTGCACTATTGGTGAGAATATAATAATGCTAGAGAAAATAGAGTGAAGGTTCCTCAAAAAATTCAAAATAAAGTCACATGTGGTGGTGCACACCTCTAAGTCCAGCACTTGGGAAGAAGAAGCAGGCAAATCTTTATGGGTTTGTGGCCAGCCTAGACTTTGTTTTGAGTTCAAGTTCAGCCAGAATTGCATAGCAAGACACTGTCTCAAAAAATAAAATAAAACTTCAAAATAGGTCTATCATATGACTCTACTTGTAGGTTTTTAACCAGAAGAATTGAAATCAGGATCTTCAAGAGGTATCTGTATACTCATGCTGATTGCAACATTATTCACAACAGTCAAGAGGTGGAATCTGCCTAAATGTTTGTCCAGCAAATGCTGCTGGATGGCAGAGTCTATCCTACTTCTGGAAAAAGTTCTGGTGATCTGCAAACCAACAACTCATTTATAGTTAGCAATACTTCGCTGAACACTAGAAAACCCCAGAGTGTGATTATTCTAATCCATTTGACACTTGAGTTAAATACCTAGTATCATCCCCATAGATACAAGTGCAGATTTCATCACACACACACACACACACACACACACACACACACACACACACACACCACCACCACCACCACCTACTACTATTACTACTACTACTACTACTACTACTACTGTAAACAAAAACACCATGTCTATAAAAACACAAATGTTAACACATCACTATACTTATTGGGTGCCATTTGGTTTTGTTTGTTGAATATATCTTGGAGTTAATTCTATGTGGGCTTGGAGCTGCACTGGACTCTGCCAGGCTGTATCCACCACCCTGACAGATTTACATGAGAACTGCAGTATGAATGGCCATATGATCCAGAGGGGCCTCTGCAGCCTGAATTCTACCAACGGCCATGTGCCTTTGGGCCATGTGGTTGATTTTCTGTGCTTTAGCTAGGAAACGATGTGACATTGATAGTCATGGAGATTGCTGAGAGGATTAGATGACTAAAAATTAATTCAGAATAATTCAAGCATCTCATAGGTTAGCCACTATTGTTTTGAAAGTTCATTTGACCCACCCTCAGTGAACAGCAGTACTGACCTTGATACCTGTGTTATGAACACTGTCTATACACAGGGTACACAGAACCGTCTTGAAACTTTCTAGAGCACTGTTTAGGGGTCCCACTCTACATTGATAATAAGCATGAAATGTATGGTTCCCAGTGGTCCTCATAAATAAAAATGTTGTAGAATACAATTTTCAAAAAACATTCTGAAATCTCATTTTGAAGTCAGTATGTGAAGTAAAAGTTTCCCTAACAATTTAGTGTTATGGAAAAGCATCCAAAATTTCCCCACTAAATGTTATTACTGGCAATATATCAAATTAATGTATTTCCCAGAGAGGGGCTAGAGATATTGTTCAATGGGAAGAGTACTGGCTGCTCTTCCCAGAGGAGCAGGATTCAATCACTAGCACCCATATGGCGCTCACCACCACCTGTAATTATAGTTCCAGAGGATCTGACACCCTTTTCTGGCCTCTGAGAGCACTAGGCATGCCCATGGTACAAATATATAGAAACATGCCAAACACCCATACAAATAAAATTAAGAGAAAACAACTTGAGAGAGAGTTGCACATGAATTAACACTGGCACCTGTATGTCACAATTAGGAAAACATAGCTTACATAACTGACTGTGCTGGCTAGTTTTGTGTCAATTTGACATGAGCTAGAGTCATTTAGGAAGAGGGCACTTCAGCTGAGAAAACGCCCTCACCAGATTAGCCCATGGGCAAGCCTGCAGTGCATTTTTGTGATTAATGACTGATGTGGGAGAGCCCAACCCACATGGAGTGATGCCACTCCTGGGCTGGTGGTCCTGGATGGCATAAGGAAGCAGACTGAGCAAGCCATGGAAGCAAGCCAGTAAGCAACACACCCCCATGGCCTCTGCAAGGTTCCTGCCTTGCCCTGAGTTTCTTCAATGATGACTCCAAGCTCTAAGATGAAATAAACCCTTTTCTCCCCAAGTTACTTTAGGTCATGCATGGTGTTTTATCACAGCAATAGAAACTCCAATTAAGACACTGGCATAAAGAGAAAGTATGGTGATCACAGGACAATATAGCACATGCAGAACCACAAGGCTGGTTCTCTCCTACCACTGTGGGTTCTAGTGATCAAGCTTGGTTAGGCTTGCAAGGCAAGTGCCTTTACCCACAGAGCCATCTCAACAACCCAGGGATTTTCTTTTTTATTTGTAGAGCTGGAGACTGAACCTGTGACCTTGTCTATACTAGGCAAGCACTCTACTACAGAACTATACTCCAGTTCCTAAGGTTTTTCTCTTTGTTTAAATCAAGAAGAGTAACCAAAACTCATGGTAACCCCAGCTACTCAGAAGGTTGATGCAGAAGGATTAAAAATTCAAGACTTATCTGGGGCCTGGGCAACTTATCAAGACCCTATCTCAAAAAACTAAACAAGAGCTTGGGACTAAACAAGTGATAGAGAGCTTGCCTAGCATGTTCAATTGCCAGTGTCACAAAGATATTTCCCAAATACACTTGGCTGTTACCCACTAAGATGAGAATACATGTTTTCTTTCTTTTTTTTTTTTTAAAGATTTATTTATTTATTATGTATACAGCATGTATGACCAGAAGAGGGCACCAGACCTTATTACAGATGGTTGTGAGCCACCATGTGGTTGCTGGGAATTGAACTCAGGACCTCTGGAAGAGCAGTTGGTGCTCTTAACCTCTAAGCCATTTCTCCAGCCCCATGTTTTCTTTCTTTGTTACTATGGTAAGTTCCTGATTCTTCTCAATAGTTAAAACCTTGCATTCTTGGAATAAACCCCCTTTGACATGTTTTTCATATGCTGTTCAATTAGGTTTGACAAAATTTTATTCAAGAATTTTACATGGAGGTTAATGAGAGACTCGCCTTTTAATTGTCTTATCTTTTTTGTTCTTACCAAAAATAATAAAACTACCTTGGCTCATGAGTTGAAAAGTTTATCCCTTTTTTTCTAGTCTTTGTTTGAATTCATGATTAACATTGATGTTATTCCCTTCCTTAAGAGTTTGAGATTTTATTATTAAGCATTCTGGGTCTGGTGTTTCCTTTGTAGACGTAATTTAAACTCCAGACTACTAAAATAAACATAAACTTTTTCTAAGACTTTTTTCAAAGTTATCAACACAAACTAATAATTTATAATATTTCATTCTTATGAGATTTTTTTTAAAGATTTATTATTTAGTTGTGAGTGTGTGTGTGTGTGTGTGTGTGTGTGTGTGTGTGCGCGCGCGCGCGCGCGCGCGCGCACCATGTGTGAGTGGAGGTCAAAAGGAGTCCCTGAAACCAATGGTTCTCCTTCAGTTGCTTTGGCTTCTGGCTGCTGTCACTTTATGGAGAAGCTGTGGTCTTGTCCTGGCTCCCTTGACATCAGAGGCCCGGCCCTGAGTATCCTACAGTGCTTCTTTTTGTCTCTAGCAGTTTTAACTGATGTGCCCACTGAGGCTCTCTTTGTACACTTCTAGCTTGGGTTCACTGTCATTCTTGCCTGTGGCTGGACTCTACCAGCCCTGGAATCTCTTGGCTTTCTCTCTTCACATTGCTCTCCTGCCAGATCTAATCCCAGGAACTCCACAGATCTTTCCATTCTTCCCTTATTATCTGCATGCACTTCAGCTGAAATAGTTCTGCCATCTTGTAGTCAGTCCCTCGAAAGTCCCTAGTAAATGTTTAATTTATAACTTAATTTATATACTTGAGTCTTTAGTTAAGTCATGTGTTTGTTTGTTTTTTAAATAGGGATTCTCTGTATAGCCTTGGCTGTCCTGAAACTTAGTCTGTAGACCAGGCTGGCCTCAAACTCAGTGATCTGTCTGCCTCTGCCTTTATACCTGAGTGCTGGTATAAAGGTGTGTGCCACCACACTCAGCCTAAGTCATGTAATTTTTAGTGGGTTCTTTTTCATAATTGTTCTTTGTGCTGGTATGTATTTTCTTGACTGCATTCATCTCTTCTTTTAAAGTCTGTGTCTAATACCATCAATATATGGACCTTCCATGCCTGCTTCTGTTGTTTATTGTTTGCTGTGAGTTTTATATAGTCTTTTGGTGTCACTTAGCCTATGTGCCTGGGATTCTATAAACTGACTAGAGGACTCTATATGGAAATGAATAGCTGTGCCAGGTGGTAGGAGCATATGCCTTTAAACAGCAGCACTTGGGAGGCAGAGGAAGGCACATCTCTGAGTTCAAGGCCAGCCTGGTCTACAAAGCAGAGCTCCAGGATAGCCAGGGCTACAAAGAGAAAACTTGTCTCAAAAAAACAAAACAAAAATACAAAAAAAAAAAAGAAAAGAAAAGAAAATAGCTGTAAGATAAGATTCCCTTATGAGATTACCTTCCTCAAAATATTTACTTCTGCTTCCAGGAGGTGGTGAGAGTGGGGGAAGAGCACCCAGACACAAACTCATGGTTCTGTGGGTTTTTAAACTCAACAAATAAGCCAGCATGGTGGTGTACGCTTTTGATCTCAGTACCTAGGAGGCAGAGTGGGCAGATCTCTGTGAATTCAAGGCCAGCCTGGTCTACATAGGAAGCTCTCGGCCAGCCAGGGCTACATAGTGAGACTCCCCCCTCCCCCCCAAAAAAAACTTTTAACAAAATAAAAGGCTTCTTTGATACTAAGGAAGAATATTTTAATAAGCTAATAGAAAGATATTTAAATGATGCAAAAATCTTAAAGCCATGAAAGAAAACACAGAACAGTATTTTCTTAAGTAAAACATTTCAGGAAAAACAAACAAAACCACCTCTTCGGTAAAAGGAAATTATGATGTTGCAAGATAAAACAGTCACTTCTAAAAGTCAGGTGGTTTGCTGTGTGTGTAGTACACATGCATGAGTATAGGTGCCATTGAAGGGGCCAGATTCATCAGACTCTTGGAGCCGGAGTTACAGACGACAGTTGTGAGGCTCCACATGAGTGCTGGAAACCAAACCTGGTCCTCTGTAAGAGCAGTAAGTTCACTTAACCACTCAGCCATCTCCCAGCCCCTAACAGAAGCATTCTGTATAAAAATAAAGGTTAAAGAGAATGCATCAAAGTGTCTCACATCAACAGGAAAAAGCTGAACCCACATAGAAAAGTGCTCAGCGTGAATGTAAGTACATACGTGGAATATGTAAAGCCACATTACATAGTCATGTATGAAGAAGTGCACAAGCCCCAAAAGTGAAATCCTCAATGTGTATGGGATGTCAAAATTCTCAGGAAACAGCACTTTCTATGTGAACAAGTGTATGTGGAAGGAACTCATCTATCAAGCGTTTCAATGTGCGAGGACAGAGCCCATCCACCTTCCCGTTTTAGTGGTACTCTTCCCACTTCTAGGGATCGGTTTCTAGAGCTCTAAGGACTAGCTCCCTCATTGCTCACAGTTAGCAGAGACTGGAAAGCTAAAGGGTATGCTTCCTAAACTTCTTAAAGCTTGTTCACCATGTCACTTGGCTTCTGTCAGACAGGCCCACTCTCAAAACTCTGCAAGGTGCCAGGAGGGTGCGGCTGCCTGCTCCTGCTTCTGCTGGCTGTGGATGCATTTGCTTTCCCAATGCAGAGGAGCTCTGGGGTCTGATCCCACGGCTGTGGTATTACGAGGCATGTGTTTTGCTGTCCTGGATGCACATGTGGAAGTAGATAGCCCTGAAGCATGATCTTTAGGCCATGGTCCTAAAGAAGTCCTTAGTGAAAGGTGTTCTGAATCAAGCAAAAACAGAAGCACGTTTAAGGGCCAACTTGAGATGTTAGAAAGCCTTTCCCACGAGCTCACCAAGGCTTTAGTTATCTCTTCTAGTCCCGAAGTACCAAAGTCTCTGAACGAAATTCCTTTCTAACTAGAGCAATTTCTAACATTTTGAAATGAATCCCGATATGCACTCATACAGAAATAGTGCCTCAAGAGGTCAAAAGTTTGCACAAGGACCTTTACTGTATTGTTTTTGTACTAAGTTAAATCTACAGTGACCGAAAGCCATCAGGTGTGACTAAATAACTGTGTATGATGTAGATGTGGGCTTTAAAAAAGAATTGGCTATGTCAACGGAGATTAACATCTGAAGTTCCTTTGATATATTCCTTCACGGGATCAACAGAACTTCATTGAGCTCTACTGTGAAGTGATGTAATGACTGTCACCCACTGCTCTAGCCAAGAGACCTAGTAGTGAGCAAAATACCAAATATCTCTGTAGTCACAGGTCTTATACTCCAATACTTAAGTGGAATGAGTATTGGAGGGATGTACGTTCCAATTTATAAGTCCTCTTGCTCCATAGGCACACACTCATTAAGTGTTAGGAACACCTGGAAGGTTACATGAAGAACCCTGCCTGTCTCTGGGTTCTTCTATACCTGCATTGGAGAGACAGCAGCTGCCGGAGCAGTCCTCACTGGGATCCCACTCAGGGGACTTCTGGGAGTCTTGTGGACGGAAATACTCTGTCCAGCTCCACCTGCCAAGAAGAGATTGGAACATAAATACTTAAATCCAGTTCAAAACTGCAAATAATGTTTTTTGATCTGTTACCCCTTTTTGGTGACTTAAAAAATCTCATGATGAGCTATGTGTGGTGGTGTACACTTTAGTCCCAGTACTCAGGACTTGGGACTGGGGAGGGAGGCAGAGGTCAGCCTGGTCTACATAGTGAACTCCAGGACAACCTGGGTTATGTAGAGAGACCCTGTATCAAAGCAAAACAAAACGAAACAAAGCAATAAACCCTCCCCACACACACACATACACAATGTTAGGTGTAACATTTACTCTAATATCTTTTTGTCCTCTTCACTAGAGCTGGATTGGAGAAATAAAAGGGGGAGAGTTAGCTGAGCAAGAACTGGTCTCAGATGTTGATACTGGAGGAAGAGGAAAAGGAATATGCGATGAGGTTTCTCTTGGTGGGGAGTAACAGGAACGTTAATGCACAAATCATTACTGATGACTCATGTGCTATCTACAGACTGACTCACTGGGTTTTCCTGCCTCTCAATATATTGTCTAATCTTAATCTAAGCAATTGGAAACTATTTTAGCAGAGACAACCAGATCATCTTAGAATTAGCCCACTATTCCAGTTTTCCAATACATTTGTGGCAGTCAAAACAAGCAAGTTATCTCTATTATGAACAGAAGCGCAATGTTTCTTCAACAGACTGTATTTGTGCATATGCTTAAGGTCTGAATGTGTAATTGCCTCCTGTGTGGAAGATGCACAACCAAAGGGAAATTGTGAGTCAGACTACAGCAGGAAAAGCTGGCAACAAACCCAAGATCAGAAGCAACAGACAAATCAGTAGGAAAGCTCACATGTAAGACTAAGCAGAAAGATGTCTAACAGCATATTGCAAGTGAGGATGATTGAGACTCCTAACAAATGCACACAGGTGATGCTCATTTCCTGGGCAATAATGCTGCTGACTCTCCTTGCCAGTTCTCAGAACACAGGAAGGTGGCCCTGAAAGTGATGACTCTGTGAGGTAGGAAAGGCATGAAGAGGTATGACAGCAAGTGGAAGTAGGGACGAGGCTGCCTCAGCATTACCCATGGCCTCACAGCCTCATCCTGGCTCCCTGCAGAGTGAGTGGCATTAGCTAGAGTGAGCCCTTGGTTCTATCAGCTTGGGGCCAGTGTGGCAGAAACGGGCTTGCTACGTAGGCTAGGGTTTGAATGTGTAGTTCTGTAAAATACCTGAGTGTCCTAAGTCAAATGACTTGATCAGAGACTTCACAGTGGTTGCCGAGTCTGAAGGAGCTGGAGGTGTTCTGTTGATGTAGACTCCACGCCACCGGCCAGCAGCATCAACCTCCGAGGGCTCTGTCCCTTCATTCACAGGTCTGTATGGCAAAGAGCACACCAAATTGAAAAGGTGGAGGGTGCCCTCACAGGGGGAAAGACAGATGGGAACAAAACCAATGTGGATAAAATGCATGAAGATGGAAGGGGAATCCCAACTTTAAAACTAGCTTTCTGGATTTTAAGTTATCTTTTATACTTTCTTAGTTAACAGTCAGAAATAACATATTTATAAATCGAATGATATCTCTAGGTGGAAAATACATGACTATCTCTGCAAATGTGAAGAAACATGTAAATGTTACTTATCATAAATAACTGTCAGCAGTGTGCACAGTGGACTGGCCTGTTGGCACGTGCTCCAAACCTCACGTGGCACACTCAGAGGATGGAGAGGTGAATCCCAAGACTCCTTTTTAGCTAAGGTCTTAGCTAAAAGTCTAATGACTTAGACTCCCCATGAGAGACTTGGCAGAGCCAGGACATGAGGCCTTTACTATGTTGACTCAGATTGTAACAGAGACAAGGTGCTCCTAGGTTAGGAGCTATAGTTGCAGCTTTCTAAATAGGCAGGCAACCTATGGTTTAGGGTTCCCATCACGGTGAGGGCCACAGGTCTTCTGGTAGCCTGGTTGTGTTGTAACTTCAGACAGCTGTTCCTGGAAGTTCAGTCTACAATCTAGTTGATTCAGTTTTCTCAGGAATTCCGCAAGTTACTTAACACTTTTCTGCCTAAGCCAACTAAAGTGCAATCCATTACATACACCAGAGCCCTTCTTCGTATGATACTTGCCCTCTGAGAGTAAGACGGAAAATTCTGTGCGAAGCTTCCACTCTCATGCAAATTTTCTAGTATGTTGTGTGGTTTCTAAACATCAGCAGAGACTCACAGGGTAGACCATTACAAACAGATCATATGATTCAGCTCTCATGTGTGGCTTTCTTATCTAGAGGATTTTAGGATGTCATTTAATCTCCTTGTGAATGAGCCAAGATGAGAATTCCCAACCTCCCTGTTGCTAAATCACTGCACTTTTTATTATATCATATTGCCACAGCTGTTATGCAAGATGACTAATTCATGAGAAAGGCTTAAACAGAATATTTCTGGAAATATATTTTAATAAGGTCAGTGACGGTTTAAAATATTTCCCAACTTTTTGAAACTAATCTAGCTATGCCTGAGCACCGATGGTTGAATTTACTTGTCCTTAATTCTCTTAGCTTTCGTCTACTGCTCTATGATCTACCCAAATAGGCTAAGTTTAAGTGAGGCGCAATTAAAGCACGTCAACTGCTCTGCCGTACACTCCTCACTGCATTGTGATTCTTTTTGAGGGAAAAAAACAATCAGCAAACTGAAAACTTCCTTGGGAGAAACTACTAGGTATTTCAGAAATGGTAAGGGACTGATTTTTTTTTTTAAGTAATTTCTAGTGATTTGATGATGCCAAGAGGTGGTTGTTTTGTTTCGCACCTTGTGTTGCACGGTATAAAATCAGATGGTGAGCCAGTGTGCTCATGTGACCTGTGGCCCCAATACTTAGGAAGCCAAGGGTCACTTGAGCCCAGGAATTTGAGGCCATGCTGCACAAAATGGGAAGAGTCCACCTCAAAAAAAGAAATAAATAAAAGAATTAAAGAACAAAGGAAAATCAGCAGGTAGATATGCAGAAAGAAAATGAAACCAGGTTAAGAGATCAGGTCCGGATAGAAAAAAAAAATCTTACTCCCACATTAGTGACTCTCAAGCACATCAAACAGTGGGTCACCATCCACACCATTTACCTGGTTTATTGCCAAGGAGCAACCAAGGCAGGTCATTTTAAAAATTTTACTTAAATGTCATTCCTTGTTAATTTTATAAAATGGAGGCTCCCACACACTGCAAGTTATTCTTTTTAGGTGTCTAAGTTTCCCAGTGATTTGAAACATCAAATGGGTAAGTGGAAAGATTCATTTAGGTCTCATAAGGACATAGCAATACAAATTAATGTAAAGGATGCCTGTTTTCACATATCCAAAAATGATACTCACTGACCAATCAGCTGTCTTGGCTTTAATAGTAAGAATAAGTCTAAACATTATCATCTGAAAATCTGAAATTTGAAATGATCAAACATCTGAAATTAGGGACTAGAGAGATGGCTCAGCTCTGACTGCTCTTTTGGAAGACCCAGGTTTGATTCCCAGCACCCACACAGCAGCTCACAACTGTCTGTAACTCCAGGCATGTGGTATATATACATACATGTAGAGAAAAATTCATATATATGTATATATAAATCTATGTATAGATAGATAGATAAATATTCTTTACAAAAATTCTGTAGTCTTTTGAATGTCAATATGGTGCCACTAGGAAATTCCGTACTTGAACCCATATGTCAGATTGTGGGTACATTAAAGGCATAATACAAAGTCACCTTCAGGCTATGTAAAGTGTATATGAAACATCAGTAAATTTTTTTTTTTTTTTTTTGGTTTTTCGAGACAGGGTTTCTCTCTGTAGCTTTGCGCCTTTCCTGGAACTCACTTGGTAGCCCAGGCTGGCCTCGA